AAAATTTTACTAGTAGATGCACAAGAACCTGCTCTACAACTTCACTTATATCAAAAAATAATATTTACTTAGTACAAAAAAACTTTTTATTAGGCCTAAAACAGATTTACTAATATATTGTTTATATATTTGTTTATCACCAATTCCAAATATGGTAATAATATGGGATCTTTGCTAGAAAAACCACAGTTAGAGACTATTTAGATTTTGACAATAAAAAAATTTGAAATTGCTAGCTATCTATTAACCCAATTTGAATAAACTTTTTTTTACTTTATAAAGCTATTTAAGCTTTATAAAATAAAAAAAAGTTTATTCAAATTGGATTAATAGATAGCTAGCAATTTCAAATTTTATTGTCAAATCTAAATAGTCTCTAACTGTGGTTTTTCTAGCAAAAATCCCATATAGCTATAGTACCAATCTTATCCAGATTGGTTAATTAAAAAGGCCATTTTTGAAAATTAGCTTCCAAATTTACCCTTGATAGTTACCAACCCATTTAACAATGTCCAACCCATTCTAAAATGCCCAAGTATTTCAACAAATGGTAAACTTTTTGCAGCTTAGTATAGCTCTTTATTGAGTTTTTTTGGTTTTCTAACTTGTCTAGACGTCAAAGAAGCCCTTTTATTAGTTGTAACAAGTGCTTCATTTGTTAGTTTTTCAACATCACTTAGGAGCAAATTTTTGTATAACAGTTTATCGAAAAAGCCCAATTATGCCAATCTGCTAATATGAAAACTTGATTGAATTTGATAAAATTTATTTAAATTAATTTTATAAGTTTATAAAATTTATTTAAATTAATTTTATAAGTTTATAAAATTAATTTAAAAAAAATTTTATTAAATTTGATTAAAATTTTGTCAGTTATTTTTGTTCAAAGTTTTAAAAAATTTTATTATAAAAAATTTGTTTAATTTCTATTGACTTACTTCTATTTATAAAAAAGATGGTATGAAAGATCATAAAAAGAGTTCAATTTATGATTTTGATTTTTTTTACTAGCAAAAAGAATACTAAAAGTGATAAATAAAATACTTTCACTTAAAAAAAATCTTTTGAAATTTTTTATTATTTTTTTTTTTCTATTGGTAGTCTTACTATGCATTTATTTTTTTTTTTTTTTATTAGGGGATCCCCTGGTGTAGCTCCTGCCCCAAACTTTATTAATACTTAAGTAAGTTGACATATTGCCAAAGTACATACATATTATATACAAGTATTGGAACTAGGACTTTAGGTAATACAACCATTTATCTACGGCTAAAACCTACCAGAGCCTTCCATATTCCCATTTATATGACTGAGCTGGCTTGTACGTCCCTCTCCAACCAACAATTGGTATTCACATGTCCACCACTTTACCCACACTACCTAGTATCATCACTTCCAATTTGGTGTACGTTGCCAGGTAGGCGCTTTGTGCTTCCAGATTAGTGTACCTGAGATCCTCTACTGGCATACTTCTTGGGAGTTCGTATCTCAAGCCATGCAGCTGCCTCTACCACATTGGGTAAGTATCTCAAGCCTGCATACTGCTGCAACTAGCCGGGTTCCTGCAACTTTGGAGCCCAGGATTTAACATTCCGAATTCGGTAATGTGCAAACGACTGTACTTTCCTCTATGGTGACGATATAACCGGGCTTGTTTTGCAAATGCTTCTAGTATTAGATATAGTTGGATGGCATTATGAGGCTCAGAGGGACCCTGTTACCACTACATGCACTTGTACCAGCTATACCCGTATTGGTGGTCCTAGCACTTCTTAGCGTCCAAAGACTCCCATATGGGTACGCCCAGAGCCTGTTGGGTCTTAACATGTACATGCCTCTATGCTTCCACCTCTTACTGGCTAGTGAGTTCTGTTTGCTCTTACAGGTTCATTCTGATCCTCAGTACTCACATCCGACTTTTCTTCCAACCTTTACCGATCCCTCCCAAACTACCAAACCAGTTAGCCCAGAAGGATTGGTCAGCCCGGCTTTATGTGCCTGACGGACTCCCTCTCCTTGGTACCTAATTCCGAAACATAGGTCCTTTTCTCCAGTACGCCTCCGGTGACCAAGTTGGTGTCCTCTTTTGCCATAGGGCTTTTTCCGTCCAGTTCTTCAGTCTCTAGTTGAAATCCCGGTCTTTTGTAGTACCATTGGAAGATCTTCCTTACCTCCTTGCTCAGAACTTGCCAAATGGGTTTCAATTGTTCCGGTCTCTTGGATTTGTCTGTATAACTTACACAACTGCGCTGATGCTCCCATTCAAGATAGTGGTACCAAGGTTACAAGTAATATACCCGGCCGATCGATGAACAAATGTTACCATAACACAGGCCTATTATTTAATTCATCTCCAGTAGGATTTGAACTCTAGACCTGTCGCTTGGGAAGGTAACAACCAGACAGCTTCTCTATGTCGCCACACCCTTTACTATGCATTTATTAATTTTAGAATATATATCTACATTTATAAACAATAATATGCCTGATATCACCCGACTACCAATTGGTGCTCAAGTGCAACCTACTGCACCAGTTTAAAGAAACAGAAACTAGAGTTGGTTTATAAACTCTAGTTGTTACATGAAATAATAGTACCATGAGTTTATGCAGTATCATATAATTCATCTTATATTACGTCTCATGACTTCAGTTACTTCCAGAGATATCACATAATAATATTGGATATTTGAACAATTTGGACATTTGGTTATTGTTCAATTTGTCCAAATAATTTAATTGGACATAGTAAATTTTTTATTGAATATTAGCAGTTAACTATGATAATATATAATATGGAGTCACAATAGTATTGTAACAGAACCGGGAAAACTATATATAAGGTCCTCGCCCAAAAAAACCCAAAATACATATCTATGCAATGCACAATATGATTGGCTATTTGGCTATTTTTTTACGTAAACCTATTCCAAATATAGGGAAAGTCTAAAGCAGAGACAACTCATATTTAATAATTTTTTAATTAACTTTAGGGTTAGGTCATTCTATATTAGGGTTAGAATAGGTTTTAGGTAAATATATATAAGCAAAATTGCCTTCATGACATTTTTGATTAACACATCGAGGTAGGTTTAGACTGCCATTTTTGTATTTTTCAAGGTTTTTGTTTTTGTTTCGCCAAAGATCATCAAAATTCTATAATTTGATTGGCGGTTAATCATATGATTTGTTTCCACTTTAGACGACTCCAAATATAGCAATAAACTAATAAGCAAATTACTATTGTTGCAAATCAACACATGACTTTTATTAGCGAGGACATTTATATAATTTAAAGTACTCTTCGAATTATAGTAAAGCAGGGTCCTTATATATAGTTTTCCCGGTCCTATTGTAACTATTAAAATGGGAGATATATGTTTAGCTAATTTAACTCTAATAGTTACTAAGAGATAAGTTTCTGATTTACTTGAATAAAAGTTTTTTTAGCACTATACTAGCTTACTTCTTTTATTTTTTTTAAGTAAAATCGAAAGGAACTTCAAAGTCAAATTCATTTATTTATATACATTTGAATTTAATATATACAGTCAAACCCCGCAATAGTCACGTGCTAAAATCGGACTTTCTATGTGCCTATTGCGAGATTGTAACTAAAGCGAGCTAAAATTTATATATAGTATATATAATTAAATAGGAAAATTAAGGTGACTATAGCAAGATTGTGACTAATGCGAATGTGACTATTGCGGGGTTTGACTGTAACAAATTAACATATTGTTTGACATGTTAACATGTTGTTTAACACACTATGTGCTATTTAACAGTAGTACTACTAAGCCAAACATGTTGATATACTATCAAGAGTATTTATAATCTGTGCACTTTAACACATATACATGCTAACATGTTAACATGTTATGAAGATTTTCAAAAAGGGGTTATTATACTAATATTTATAAATTATACAGTGCGGGACAGCTTAAATATCTGATTCTATTAGTTGTTTTAAAAATGGTATAACTTGACAAAAAATTATTAAATTAAAAATTCTTTTTTCAAATTGATAGTTTGTAACCCAAACTACATTTCTGAAAGATGATTTTTTTATTTTTATTTTTAATAGTGCTATAACAGTTTAAACTTTGTTAACTGGCAAACTCTTATGATCATAAAAAAATTTCTTCTTGTTATTTTTTATGTATTACGATATAATCATATTATTCAAATTAAAACTTAGTTAGCCAATTATAACTTGAAAATCATGATCATAATTGCCAGATAATATAAATATTGAGTCATGCATTGATAAATATCGTAAAATTTGTGTCTGAAATGTGCCACTGTGTGGTACTGTCAGCTAATCATTTGCCTGATTGGACAAATTTTGCGATATTAATCGATGCATGTTCAATATTATATACTTATTTTACATATAAAACAGAAATTTGGCACTAATCTACATGTATAAGCCAATAAAAATTGATTATTTTTGTATTACATTATTCTAAATTTGACGTATCTTAGTAAAAACTTGATGTTTATAATATCCTGATCAAATTTGGTGCAGATATCTTTTGTTGTTCTGCACTGTACAAAAATAAAAATAAAAGTTGTCTATACTGAATAAAGAGAAGATCTATTTACAAAGTTTAAGGGAAAAATCATCAGAAAATTCGAATTTCTAATGTCACAATTTCGAAATTGTGACAGTATCTATTTAATAATTAATGTTTTACAATATGTACTTCTATATATAAATTGAGTATCTTTGTTCAATAAATTTATTGGATATTTGGACATATGTCCAAAATTGAAAATGACCAATTAAATTTAATTGAACATTGTCCAATGACAACTCTGGTTACTTCCAAATTGAGGTTCCAACATGGCCCGCTTTACAGCTTCAAATTCTCAAATATGTTGATTTAGTACTACCACTGCAGGGTTCATATCTCAAGCCATCTTTTGAGGTGCTGCCACAACCTTGCTCATATCTCAAGCCAATAACACCATGGATCGAATAATACGCCATTATTTGGCTTTGGAAGGAATTGAACCAGCGACCTTCAGATTTGCAACCTTAGAGCATAACTGCTATGCTATCAACCCGGAGGTCTAAATTTTTTTTATTGAAGAATAACAGTTTTTAATTTTGTTAGCATAATCCAAGTTTGTTTAATTAAAGATAGGATTTTATGTATTCAATTACAACTGTAGAGAAAATTAAAGATTCTGCCGTGAGTACTAGACAACAAAATAATAACTAGTTTTATTATAATTTTTATTATAAACTAATACTCATATATCAACAGGTGTAACATATTTCCTGACTGCTAATACTAAATCAAATATCTGATATGTAAAATAAATATTAATTTAAAATCATTAAAAATTTAATAACTTATAATTTATTAATATTTAATATTTACAAATTATAAGATACTCTACAATCTTTAATCAGACAAACAACATAAAGTTTTAAGCACAACGACAATAACACATATTTCTGAATCAGTGACCATTGCATGAAATATTATTTTACTCAAAATATTTTAGTGTGTTTGATATTTTATCAAATAAAAAAATTTTGAATCTTTTGAGGATGAATCGGATAATTATGTGGTTAAATCACATAATTTGCATTTATTCTGTATATTGTAGCATTGGAATTGCCCATACTATATTCTAAAAAACGAATCGAATAATAAAAAGTATCAAACTCAAAATTAAATAAATAGCAATTATTCGATTAAATTTCTTAGTATAAGATTTATACCTTATTTGTTATAAGTAAAATTTCCGAATACAGAAAAAAATATGTAAATAAGGTCAAGTTAATTTACATTGACCCACCTTTTAATACCGGACAAATGTTTACTAATTATGACGATCATCCTATGAATTATTGCGCGATATAACAATGGCTTGAGCACACTAATAGTTAGAGCAAATTTATAGCTACTTATGGAGTATTATATGTTTTAATATATTTGACCATCACTTCGCTGCTATCTCCATTTTCACTATCCTCGTCATTTTCATTGCTATTTCTATTTTTGCTACTATCACAATTATTTCCAGATTTAATAGATTTAATATCTAAAGAATTGTGATTTTCATCTCCAGTCCACTCTTCACAACTTTCCTTTTCTTCACTACTACTATCATTTTTATTGCAGTTGCTTTCGTCCTTGCAGTCTTTATTTACTGTGCCAATTGTTTATCTAATGAATTCAACGTATCTAAATTGCTTTTAATTGACATTTTATATGTGTACATTATCTCAATTAAAGATTGCACCACCTGTGCTGTTGAATTACGTTTGTAAGGAAATGCAACTTTTTCTAAAGTTCTTATTCGAAATAATGGATAAAACTTTTGATCCATAATAAAAAATTTAATAAATATTTCTGAAAGTTCAATAATCAAAGTATTAACTATCATATTAACAAAAAACAATAAAAGCAATACAAAATATACTAACTATGAGCATGCATCAAAAAACTATTAAGATTTTTAAATTCAATAAATTCTTTGTTATTTTTATAATATCTATTTAAGTCTTCAAGCGAGTCTTTTCCAAATTTTCCTAGCTTAGTTTTGTTTTTGACAGCATGAGATCTTTTTAAGTAAAAAGGGGATCCAGAGATTTTTCCAAAAAATAATTCTACATTGTATTGTATATTTTCGCAGTAATGGGTACCAAATATATCAGCTTTTTTGATAGGCCCATTACCATCAGCATCATTTCTATTAGCAGATGTATGACTTGCAGCATGATCCCTAAATCGTTGCTTATTTAAAAAAATGCAATTTTATATAAAAGATGCACAATCTTACAAGATATGATACCATCGAATAAAAAGATCCTCTTCCATATCAGCTTCAATAAACTTCATTATTGCATCGACTGCACTATGTGACCAGGTAGATTCGTTGATTTTTGGTGAGTTGTTTTGATATTCCTTTTTTTTCCATATGCTGCGCCTTTATAGATTCATGAACGAATCAAACTTAGTATAGTTCTAGATTTTAACACGTTAAACCACAAGTTGATGAGATACATCATAGTAAAACTTAATATATAACTTACATTGAGTTAATAAAAGTTCTCGTCGAAATATATAAAGACTTGTATTCATCATTAGGAATCTTCATCTCTTTTCTACAAAGGTAGTTTTTAATAAAACTTGGAAGTTTTCCTGGCAATGATAATCGTAGAATTATTTCTTCAAAACTACTATCTTGCATATTTAACATTTCTAGAAATTCGGGATTTTTTTCTCTTAATTCTTCAATATCTAGGATCCCTGAAAGAATTAGGTCATCTGGTTTTAAGTTTAAATTCCAGATTTCTCTGCTTAGGACTTTCGCAATGTCGTTTATGTTTGGTTCAAATTGCAACTAGTTCAAAATAAAATATTAAATTAGATAAAAGTTTATATTTAAAATTACAGATGAAAAAATATTACTTTATGTATATCAAGCTTGGCTTTGTATTCCATTATTTGATTATAAACATTTTTACAGATAAGGTCGTTCCAACCCAATGCTCACGCACAATCCGTTACATACAGCCCGTATTGAACATATTTATGTTCGTTCGTTGCATCATATAAATATCGCTTAAAAACTTGAAGATCTTCCTAATAAAGAAACTAAAGTTAATATTATAATATGATGCATTTATCATTAATTTAATTAATGTTTATGCTCTTTATCAGTCAAAAACTTAAAGTATAAGGAGGGTTTAAGACAATATGAATCAATATATCCTCCAAAAATAGAGGGGCCATAAAGACAACTATATTTCTTCAAGTCCTTCAGGAAGGGTTCTTATAAAAATGAAATGTTCGAATTCATATATCCTCAAAAAAGAAGGGCCATAAAGGCAGCGTATTCCCTTGGTCCTCTATACAATCAAAATTCATCACGAAGAGAATACTAACTATAGTATGTAACTTATATCTTTCTTTTCGTTCCTCTTCACTTCATGAACTTTTCTTGAAAAAGACTTAAGAATTTCTGAAATAATTGTCTCATACTTTTTACTCAGATTTATTTGACTTTTCATAGCAAGAAAAATATAAAAGTCAAAAGGATGTTTTGGTTTTTCCTTAACAAAAGATAAGTAGCTTTGAATATGATCTTTCTTCATTAGTAAAATTAAGTAAAATTAAGAATAATCAACGACATTCGTATGATTGGCCAATTTATGTTGATCAAAACGTGATCATCGGCCAATCAAATCTCAAATTTTGCAAGTTATTGTATTACATATTAGCGAGAACTTTACATTTATTATATATTCAAAATGAATTCTATTTTATTTTCAGTCGTCATAAACTCCACTAGTGATGCGCTATAACCCTTAGTTTATACAGTATAATCAATAAGCGCAATACCACTTGTATATACTACATTGATCTGCTTCTAAAGTAAACCCAAACCATGATTACTAGTGAATTGACTCGATTATATTATGCTCGATCATTGATTGATTTAGATCAATAATCGAGCACCAATTAATAGGCTTGAGATCGATCAAATAAGTATTATATTGATCGATTAAAAATTTTTTAATATGATTTCACCCGGGATATTATTTAATTTCTGATCTAAATGTCTAACGTTAATATTTCATATGGCCGAAAATTTTTGATGAAAATGTTGTGATTATTAATATCAGGGGCATCGTGTTAGCCTAGCGGTGTAATTTTATAAGGTTGCATGACCTTATTACTACTTTTAACTAATATAATATAATTCATAAATTACATGCTTGATCGATCATACTCGATCAAGCATGCATCCTTGATTTTTGATCGATTAAAAAAATTTTTTTTTTGGGTCAATCATCGATCAATAATTTTTTTGCCAAGTCAATTCACTAATTACAGCTGCTTACTCAATGATTTAACTCTATAATATTAATTATGTAATATGCAAGATATATAGTAAGGGCATTGTCATTAATCACCTGATTATTTTTTATCAGAGGCCTACCCCCCTCCCTCTTCCTCAATATATAAATAGTCAGGTTCTTATATATAATTTCAACTTTTTTTACCCCCCTCCCCCCCTAAAAAATCACCTGATTTTTGTTACTCCCCTAAGTATTTTAGTAAGTATTAAGTTAATTATTGTCACAGCTGATGCTGAAGTTGGCTTATGCTGAAGCTCAGGGTCTTGATTGGAAACTATAAGCCCTGCTAAAATCCACATATACTCTATAAATATAAAATCTACACCCAAACCCTACCCTAACTAACCCTATAAACAAAAGTGAAAAAAACATCCAAAAAAAAATTTAAAATTTTATATCAAAATAGGTCAAAGCTTCAGCATTAGCCAACTTCAGCATTAGCCATGACAATTATTATTAAAATAACACACGGACAAGATTACTATATTATGTTTTTCAAGATTAAACTGACACATAAATGTCTCAAACCTTATATAACTAATATAGTAATAAATAGCAAAATACTTGCTTCTAAGTGAAGTTCTTGAGAATGTTGATTATTTTTTGATTATTTGTACAATAAATATAAGCATTCTTTCAAAGCTAGAAATGGTTTTTATAGTGATTGTTTATTAGTGAAACATTATATTCTTGAAAAGTACTTTAAACTGTATAAATAATTTATCTAGGCAATTGATTATATTAGCCAATCAGGCAAATGCCAGCCTATAAAAAAACACCTTCAAAAATTCTGCACAAACAAATTAGATTTTAAAATTAGGTGTAATGTAAAATTTATACAAGTGGATCTATTTCTGATGTGATTATTGCAAATCTCATACTGATTGGTTTGTTTATTTAAAATACTATTAAAATTTGGGACTTTGTAAAAATAATATAATTTTTTATATACTATAGTTTGAAGCTTTATATTTTATATTTATATTTAATAAGATTATAGTTTTCTGGATTTCAAAATCTTTTTTTGAAATTTTAAACTTCTGCTAGTAACAATATTAATAGGTAGACCACATAAAAATAAAGGACTATATAGTATATAGCAAAGATCTAAAAGAATACAAAAATAGTTTTTGGCATTTGTTTATATATTTTTATTAACAAGACTTTAGTTTTAACAGTACCA